TAATACCCCTGTCATGTTTCATATTAATGTTATGCTTGCCTTATAACTGTATTGGGAAATATTCTCAAGAGTTTGTGTAACAAGCTTTGTCTTCTTCCTTCTTTAAATATTTGGAAGAATTAACCAGTGAAATTATTTAGAACTAGTTTTCTTTATCGGAAAGTTCTTAAAGACTCAATTTTAAAAATAAATATAGAACTATTTAGATTTTCTATTTTTGTGTATTTGTTTTGGTGGGTTTTTTTAAAGGCATTTGACCATTTCGTATAAATTTTCCAATTTACTGACATTAAGTCATTTACAATATTCTCTTTTTAAAATCATTTCCTCCATTTTTGTTGAGAGAGTACTTGATTTGCTTTTTTTTCCCCCTACCTTGCTGAAATGAAAGATTATATCTCATTATTAGTGTTACTGTTTTAAAGTCAACATTATTTTATATTTATTTGTGTTATTTACTCTTGCCAATGCCCATTGTACCTTCCTACAGTTCAGTATTTCCATCTGGGATCATTTTCTTTTACCTTGAAATTTTTCTTTTAGTATCTCTTATGGTAAAATATGCTGGTAACAAATTCACTCATCTTCTACATACCTGAAAACACTTTTATTTTATCTTTATTTTTGAAGGAAATTACCACTAGATAAAAAATTCTGAGTTGGCAGCTTTTTTGTTTTGTTTTGCTTTCTATTTAGCACTTAAACAATGTCATTGCATTGTCTTCTAGCTCCCACTATTTTTGTTGATATGTCAGATGTTACTTGTTTGATGGCACTGTGTCTTTACCTTCTCCCCATCACAGCCCCAACTGGATACTTTTATAATTTTCTCTCTTTGGTATAAAAAATTAGAGAAAAGTATTCAAAGCAACCACAGACACCATAAAGTAATGACAGATGCCTGAAAGGAGATAGCCAGAGAAGGGGCATCCTAAATTCTGCCCAGCTAAAGATAAATGAACTGACCTAAGATTTGAACTGCTGGCTAAGAGACAATTCACAGTTTGTGTCCAAACTACTAAATGCCTGTTAAAACAAAAACATCAACACTTTTTGAAGGAACATAGTCAAATCCAGAGTCAGCAGAACATAACATTTCTAATGTCCAGAATACAATACTGAACAGAAATAACAATTAATAGAGACAGATCCTGAGATGTCCCAGATGTTGGAATTAGCAAACAAGAATTTTTAAAGCAGTTATCATAACTATTATCAGCGATGTTAAGGAAAATATGTTTTGATAAATAAAGGAGGTCTCAGTAGAGAAATGGAAATAATAAAAAAATGAAAATTTTAGAACAAAATATAATAGCTGAAATTAAATATTTGCAATAGGTTTAATATGAAAATGGAGATAACAGAAGAGTAAACCTGAAGATAGATCAATAGATTGTATCTAATTTAAAGAACAGATTGAAAAAAATGCAGCCTGAAGGATCATTAGAACAATATCAAATGGTCTAACATGTGAGTAGAGTCTCAGAAAAAAACTTTTTACAATGATGACAAAATTTCCCAAACGTGGCAAAAGACACAAATTTATAGATTCAAGCAGTTCAGCAAACCCCAGCAGGATAAATGTGAAGAACAAGCCTTGAAATATCACTGTCAAACTGCTGAAAACCAAAGATAAAGAGAAAATGTTGAAAACATTCAGAGAATAGTGACACATTACATATAGGAAAAGAGCATTTCAAATTACCAATGATTTCTTATCAGAGAAACTGGAAGGTAGAAGGCAGTAGAATAACATCTTAATAGTGTAGATCCAAAAACATGTCAAGATAGAATTCTATAAACAGAGAAAATATCCTTCAAAAATTAAAACGAAATAAAGACAATTTTAGATAAAAGAAAACTAGAAGAATTCATCACTAGCAGACATGCAGCACAAGAAATGCAAAGGAAAAAAAAAGAAATGCAAAGGAAGTTCATCAGGTTGAAGGGAAATCATACCAGATGAAAACTTATATTTTCAGAAAGAAGAACAACAAAAATAGTAAATATCTGGGTAAATATATAAGACAATTTTTCCTCTTAATTTCTTAGAAATACATGACTTAAAAGCAAAAATTAATGCTGTTTTGTTGAGTTTACAATTATGTAGATGTAATACATGTGACAAGTATAGCATAAAGTCAGGGAAAGAGATGAATAAACCCAAGTTAATACATCCAAATTGAGGCAGTATTAGTTATAACCCAACCCATTGGATTGGTTCTCCATACAGAAAAGATACACATAGCACATCCTACTATCTACAGTCCCTAATGGGAACTAAACAAAAGCCAGGGAGAGCAGGGAAATGATTTGAAAGAGTTCACTAATATATCGTTTTAACTATGGAAGCCTGGCTAAGCCTGTGGTGAAACCTAAGCCTTTACACAGGAGGTTCTCCCAGCGGGAGTAGAAGTAGGGACAATAGCATTGTTGTCTATGGATCCAAACTAGCAACTGGCATTGCAAACAGCATTAGATCAAAGCACAACAGATCAAGATTCATGTTAGCACCATCAATGATTTGTACCTGTATTAGTCAGTTATTGCTGCAGTGATGCTACTGTGTTTGGGAGGTCCCCCAAGTCACCCCAGGTTCCATGATTCACTAGGAGAACCCACAGGACTCAGCATATAGTTGTACTCATTGCTATGATTTATTACAGTGAAAGGATGCAAAGCACAATTAGCAAAGGTAAAAAGCACTTTAGGTGAAGTCCAGTGGAAACCACGCTCCAGCTTCCAAGGGTCCTCTCCCAGGAGTCACACAGAATGCATTTAATTACCCCAGCAACAAGTTGTGACAACATGTGTGAAATGTTGCCAACCAGGGAAGATCTTCAAGACTCAGCACCCAGGGTTCTTACTAGGAGCTGGCCATGTGGCAGCCTCTGCCTAGCACCTGCCAAAATTCCAGTCTCCCAGAAGGAAAGCAGGTGTTTAGCATAAACCATATTGTTTGTACAAACAGTTTAGGCACAGTGTATCATTCTTATCAGTTAATGGTAGCAACCTTCCCAAAATCTAAGTTCCCAGAAGCCAGCCAAGGGCCATCCTTGCAAGCAAACCTTTTCAAAGATAGGAGTTTAGGTCTGCTGTGTTAACTCTTTTCTGTACAACTAGGTAAGAAGTAACTACAAATGTCTCAGTAGCTTATGACAATAAACATCAATTTTTCTCAATTAGCTTATCTGTGCTAGGCTAGATTTTAGGCTTTGTACTGGATACATGTCCACTCCACAGATCTTCACAATTCCCAGAACTATGGCTCCCTATAGGCATGTTTCTTGGGGCAGGTGGCAGAAACACAAGAGAGCAAGTTAAATCATGCAAATGCTCTTAAGGTCTCTGGTTACATCACACCTCTATAAACATTCCATTAGCCAAAGTGAATCATGTAGATCAGACCAACAGTACTGGAGTGAGCACATTTCCTTCATCTACTATAATAGGGAGAATTGCAAAGTCACATGGCAAAGGGTATGAACGCATAAATCCCTTACAGGGAAGGATGAAATAATTGGGGAAAACAATGCAATCTACCACAGTACCCTAGGGACCTCACCAAACTCAAAAGGGCAAATGGGGTTAGAAACATCACCTTATCACCTCTGAAAATGATATTTCTTAGTTTGCTCATTAGTTTATTCTAACATCTATACCCAAAGGAGCCTTGAAGAAGGCAGGAAAAAACAAGGAATTTTAGTAATATTCTATGCAAGTTCTTTAGCAATATAATAATAAAAGTAATAATAGTTAACATTAATTTGTGCTTACCATATGTCAAGAGTGTTACATGCAAGACTTCATTGAGTCCTTGGTGGATGTCACTAACCCATTTTACAGATGAGAAAACAGAGGCCTAGCAACTTGCCCAAGGTCGTAAAGCTTATAAGTGGTGAAGCCAGGATTTGAATCCAGGCAGCCTTGATCTGGAGCCTGTGCTTTTAACCATTATGATATCTTAAGTGCAGTGCTTGGGCACATGTGCCAGACTGCAATGCTTCAATACTGGTGTACAAAAGTGTGCCCAAATTGTGAAAGTACCACCAAATCCACACATGATTCACATGGGCTCAGAGAGCTAAGATTTAATGTGTAATGAAAACTTTTCTCCTACTGAACTAAAATACAAAAAAATGCTGACTTTTTCCTCATAGAAATACATAAATATACCATAGTTCGACTGTTTACTTTCAATGTTATTTCGATTCAAACACTTCTTGCCTTTGAAGAACTGCTACATGAATGCATTCTGTTGATCAAAATAACTTCTGAAGTTTCTAAGCCACCTTGTCTTTTTACTTTCTAGACTAGGTAAAGGATCTGCTACATGTGCCATCTCCTATGACAACTGTAAAGGCCATGTTTCTGTCAAGGAAAATGATCACAAAATGATCACAAAAATCTTCCATTTTCATTAAACAAATATAGTCAAGGCTGCATTCAATAAATAATTTAACAACCGAGAAGTTTCTCCTTTATGAAGCAAGAATTCTGTAATGCAAATATAGTACTTCTATCACACCCGGAGTTTCTAGTCCCTCCCTCTACGATTATGGGAAGGTGCATTTGAATTACAGACACTCATTTCTCTCCCATTGTTTTCTGAGCTCAATGAATAATGAAAGTATTGTACTATTTATCAGAAATCACTAAGGATCCAATGTTAAAAAGGCATGCTCCTGCAAGAAGCAATGGTCTGCCAAGTGTCTCATCTGAAGATGAGTAAATGCTGTTGGAGGAGTTCAAGTCTTGTGTCTATCTGAGAGATTAGATTAAGGACCCATTGTAGGGAATTCAGAGGGTTACTAATAACAATGCATTATCTAGATGTAGTCAGCCTGTAAAACACAGGAAACACAAGAAAGAACATTTCTGTCCTCAAAGAACTACATTACCTAAAATAGGCTAAAAGTTGGAAATGAAAAGAAAAAAAGAAAGGACATTGCCAAATGCCAATCACTTGAAAACAAGTTTGAAAAAGTGAAGTGTGATACCTTAGTCCAAACATGAGCAATGAGGAGGTGCAGACTGTTTTTCCATAATGTCCAGGGCATTTGGAACTAGACAAGAGTTATTCAGGGAGAGAGGAAAGTGCTTAGTTCAAGTGGTTTTGTTTTTAACAAATCCTCACTTTCTCTGCTAGTTTTCCAAGAGCTCTGCCACTTATCTAAAAAGTGATTTTCCTGGCTTGTGAGAAATACAAAATCAGGGGCTCTAAATGGATTTATGAGATTCTCCAGAAGAGAGAACAACGATACAATGGAAAGCAGGAACTGCTGGCATATTTCCATTTAAATTAAAGCCAAATTTCAAATATTTTAATATAAAAAGAATCATATACATTTCCTTAATTTAGTAGGTGTAAATTATTTATGACATCAAATTAAGTATATGTATATGTGTGTGTGTGTGTGTGTGTGTGTGTGTGTGTGTATGTGTGTATAAAATGCCAAGCCAGCTAATAGGAAAATCTTCAATTTATGTTCAATAAAGGAATGCAAACATGAGTTTTTAAAATATTATTTTAAACAAGAATATAAAATATATACTGCTGCTAAGCATTGCAGGAGTTGTTAACAGAGTAGAGATGATAAAGAAAATTCAATAACTTACATTATGGTAAATATGATTATTTCAAAATATCTGAATCATTAAATGTTAAGTTTATTATCTAAACCAGGGTCGGCAAACTTTTGAGACGGAATGTACCCAAAGAGCCGCATGTGGTCCCTGAGCCGCAGTTTGCCAACCCCTGATCTAAAAACATTTGCTATCAAGTAAATGAAGAAGTTCCCAACCAGTAAATCAAAATCAATCAGTAGATCACTCCACTAGGTCTCTTTCTGCAAGTTTCTGACAAGATTCTTAGGATAGAGGGCTGTGGGCCAGCAATGCTGCCCCTTCCTGGGTGTGGCTCCCTCAGTCCCTCTCTCCACTCTGCCTATCTCTAGGCTTCAGAGGACTGAAAAGTAGCAACTCCTCACAAGAAGTCTGGGTTGTCCTAAGGTGAACACAGCCCCCACTGGCAGGATACTCAGGTATTAAAGAAGAGCTAAAATGTGTTCATTAGATGTCAGGACAAGAAAGAGGACAAACACACAGAAAACTTTTCCACAAACATAGAAACAAAAGAAAAAAAGGGGTTTGCGTAAATTGTCAGGTTATCCAGTTAGTAGAACATAATCCAGAATTAATCAAAATGTTATGAAATTTTAATCACCAAAAAGAATAAAACTACATTTAGCTCTAATAAGGTAAAATGATAAACCTATATAAATAGTGTTAGTTATCATAAAATTGGAAACAAATAACTGGATAATGTCATCACTTTTTTTCTAGGTAATATGTAAGCTCATTCCAAATTGTATAGCCTGGTAAAATAAAAAAATCATTGATTTTGACTATGGGCCAAATCTGGCACACCACCTGTTTCTGTCTATGTCTTTAAAAAAGCCTATGCCAGGCTGGCCAAGTGGCTTAGTTGGTTAAGAGTCGGCTTGGGATGCCAGCTCTGAGCAGCAGGGCCACCGGTTCGATTCCCGCATGGGCCAGTGATGCTGCACCCTTTACAGCCAAGATGGTGAACAACAGCTCGACCTGGAGCTGCGCTGCCGTGAATGGCCGGTGACAGCATAGGCTGCAGTGGGGCTGTAGTGGGCTGCCATAAGCTACCGTGAGTGACCGGCAGCCAGTGAGAACTGCCGTGAGCCGCCGTAAGCGGCCATCCAATGGCCGGCGACTGATCTGCCTCACCCGGGAAGAGCGCAATGATCATAATACCAACATGGGCCAGTGAAGCGATGTCCTCCACAACTAGACTGAAGAACAAAAGGACAGCAACTTGTATGTTCCCCTTCCCCAATTCCCCAATAAAATCTTTTAAAAAATAAAAAAGGCTATGCCTCTTTTCATGCTATAACAGAGTTGAGAAGTTCTGACAGAGACTATTATAGCCCACAGAGCCTGAAATATTTAATATCTGTTCCTTTATAGGAAACATTTGCAGATTCCTGCCCTATATAACCACAGATGTTAAAATAAACATGTAGGCCACATTGCTAAATCATGATGGTCTCAAGGGAGGAAAGGACTTTGCTTGCTTTACCATGCAAGTCCTTAGTTACAAACCAACGAAAAAAGACAGAGTTACAAAATACATTCCAAGTGTTGTGAGGGTACTTTACAGTTTGGAGAAATGAAACAGTTGTTCTTCCTACTTATTTTATTGGATCTTCCTACCTGTTTTTCCTCGTCTTCATGTGAAGTGCTAGTGACATCATGGACATTTCCGCTGGGTCCACTGGCTGGGTAACCTTTCAACTTTTCTTGAATGGACCACTTGTTCATTTGATCTGTTGTGTTTTCCTCATCACTTCCTGGATTATTTTTCCATTCTTTCATCATTTCTAACACATTGGTTGGTCTCAATGAAGAAAGTGCATTGCCCTAATGTTAACAATGAAGTTTTGGTGTTAAAAAAAAGTTTAGAAAATTGAAAGAATTCTTATAGCTTTTAGAATATATTATTATATATTCCCCCAAATTCAGTAAGTCACATGGAAAAATTATAAATGGCAAAACTTCTGATGCCCCTTGGAACACACTCTCTGTACTGACAGAAACACCTCAAAACTAACGGGAAAGCTGAAAGAAGTTCCCCAAAATCTAGTGAGCCCAACACTAAGGGCAAGCCTATATAGTATCAAAATGTCTAGGTAAAAAATAAATCTAAATTCAGTTGATCAGTCAAGTGCTGTATCTAAGAATATAAATGTTTGATTTGAAAGCCCTTAGTTAGCTGGAAGATTTAGATATAAGGTGCTCATTTGATTATAACTGATTCAGTGCACCGTTTTTATCCCAGATGTGATTATACAAGATGTGATCAAACAATATGGTGAATATTTAAAGAAAAAAATTTATTACAGTAAAAGACACATTGCCATTAATCCCCCTCAAAATACATCCCCTTATTCGAACACATTTATCCTGTCGTTCTTGCCACTTTCTGAAGCAGTTCTGGAAGTCTTCTTTCATGAGTGTCTTTAGTTGCGCTGTTGTGACTGCCTTGATGTCCTGAATCGATTCAAAATGTTTACCTTTCATGGTCATTTTGACTTTGGGTAAGAGCCAGAAGTGCCAGATCCGGTGAATAAGGTGGATGAGGACACACTGTAATGTTTTTATTGGACAGAAATTGCTGTACCAGAAGCGATGTGTGACACAGAGCGTTGTCATTTGGAGGATGAAACTGCCCATTTCATGTTAATGTGTTGTTCATGATCCGTGATTTTATGGCACACTTTAAAACACACCTTCTCTCAACCGTAGCTAGCACCCGACTGACTACACCAAACAAGTTGAAGCTTGTCACATACGGTTACTAAGTTTCGATGTGCCCTGTATCAAAGATCCCTGCCTTTCTGTTGGATGGCACTTAGCAGCAGCATTCACCACATTTTTTTATCACAACAGAAAGGCTCTGTGTCACACATTGCTTCTCGTACAGCAATTTCTGTCCAATAAAAACATTACGGTGTGTCATCATGCACCTTATTCACTGGATCTGGCACCATGCGGCTTCCCCAAAGTTAAAATGACCATGAAAGGTAAATGTGTTGAATCAATTCAGGACATCGAGGCAGCCATGACAGTGCAACTAAAGACACTCATGAAAGAGGACTTCCAGAAGTGCTTCAGAAAGTGGCAAGAATGATGGGATAAGTGTGTTCGAAACAAGGGGGTGTATTTTGAGGGGGATTAATGGCAATGTGTCTTTTACTGTAATAAACTTTTTAAATTTAAACATTCACTGTACTGTTTGATCACACCTCGTGCAATACCAAAATTGAATACTTTATAGTAACTAGATTTTTCTCAAATATAATATTCCATTTAATGCCAAGAAATACATGAGTGCAGTCTCAAATGGCTCCTGCTAGACTAGGTATGCCGTAAATATTTTTTTCTCCTAACTCAGACTAGTAGAGAAAGTTTGGACAAGAAATTTGGATCATGTTTAGATTAAAATGGGAAGGTCAGATGTGAGCACAGCTATGGGGTGATTCTAAATTAATTTGGCATGTAGGTGGATTGTAGTATTAAGCATCAGTGACACAGAATACTATAAGATAGAGTACTTTAAAGGCAGCCATCTGAGTACACTATTGAGGATTTGTAGAGTTTAATATACTTGTAGTTAAAGATAAACATTAAGTATGGAATAGTAATAACTAAATGAGGATCATTATGCAATTAATTCCCCGTGGTTCTTCTATTTCATCCTGCTTTAAGAAGGTCTATATTCTTACCAATTTCGTAGCATTATACTTTTGGTTGCACTCATGCAACCTCTACCGTTACTTCCAGGAAGCCTTTCCCATGCCTTCCGCCAACCCATAGCCTACATTTCCTTCAAGCTCAATTTAAGAGACGTCTCTGTTAAGTATCCCAGAACTTCCAAAGATGCTGTCAACTTAAACTCAAAGCATAGACAGAGGCTCAAAGACCATAAAAGATTTGAAATCATTTAGAACAGTAGATCGTCTCAGAGCTCTCAAATGAATGAGTTCTGATCTCCAGGGCTCTGTCAACAGCTCTGCCTCGTCCCTGTGATCCATAGCTTCCTGGCTTCCTCCTGAACCTTAACCCTAATTTTCACATAATCACAGTGTCCAGGCTCCTGGAATGCTAGTACACACCATTTTGCTTCAACTTGATTCTTTCACTAGCAGACAGGGAAAATATGACATATGTATGTCTGTAATCCCAGTCCTCAATTGCTCTTACCTGATAAACTCTCCACAAGTTTATTCTTTGGATATTATAGTAGTCACTAATGCTGCTCATCCAACATTCCTTTCTTCTAGGAACATGGCAGAATTGTACTTCTCTACCTCTTTTGGGACATGATCATGTGACTTGTTTGGACCAGTGAAATGTGATTGAAAATGAGGCAGGATAAGAAGCCTAGGAAATTGACAATCCACTACAGGGTACAATGTGAGGTGCCTCACTGGTTGTACAAGTAACAAGTGACTGTATCCAGTACCTGCAACTGGAGAAAAGCAAGAACCAGTTTCATCCAGCTAGGCTGACCCCTATGACCAGGACCTGACCTTTAGCTAATTTTAATGTCATTTGCATTGCATATAGTATGACTCCCATCATGCATCTGATGCCATAACAGCTCCAGAGGAACCAAATAAGGAAGAAAAAGTGAGACATGGAGGGTCTCGTCCAGAGGGAGGAGATGAATGAATCATGTCAATGGGACGTCACCAATTCCCGTCTCAGGAGGAATAAATATCCCTAATCAGATATTGTGACTCAATATCTGAGTTTGCCAGCACTCCCCGCTTAAGTGTGTACTTTTGTTTCAATAAACTAACTTCCTGTGCTTTCCTGCATCTGTCTTGCTCTTGAATTCTTTCTTGCACAGAGACAAGAATCTGGTCACCGTTGCTCTGGGTTGAGTTCTCTCTTGGACATCCCCATGAGCCTCCAGTGACATTTCTGGTGACTTAGATTGTACATCTTCACCAGCGCCTGGACTTATCTTCCCAAGGTAAGAACAAAGCCACTTTTGTCTTTCGCTTTCTTTCCGTTTCCAAGACCGCCTTGGGAAGCCTCTAGCCGCATTGCAGGCATAGGTTGAGCACTTAAGAGCAATTAGGGCGCTCACACTTTAAGACTCCCTTGATAAACTGGTCACAGATCAGTAGATTAGCTCTAGGCGTCCCCACCAACATCAAGACAATATCCGTGCAACAAGGTACACAGTTCCACAATCATACATCTCCCCTTTTCCCTGCAGCAATTTTCTGTATCAGGATTAGTACAGCCTCCTGAGAGTCGGTTGTCTCAACTTTTTTATCTGAACTGTTGCTCTGGGTTGAGTCCTCACTTATAAATCCCTGTGAGCCTCCAGTGAGAGGAATGGTATGTCTCACTCTGGGTGGAAACTAGGAGATACCAAGCAATTTGTCTCACTGAAGAAAGTGAGGCAATTCATGCCTTAGTAACTATAGAAGCACAGAAATGAGGCCTCCCTCAGCCTAGGTCTCTGAGTGAGGACAAAATAAAACAGAATCTCCTCTCTTCCTCACCTCCTCCCAGTCAATGTGCAATGGAAGGCATCAAGAACACTGAGATTTGGGGGTCACTTGTTACCGCAGCATAATCTAGTGTATCCTGATTTACATAGCAAACGAACATCTACATTCTGTAAGTCACTTCCAAACAGCCTTAAAAAGAGAGCCTATTGTACAACCAGCGTACCCAACATAATTGCAATTATTAGAGAAATCACATGCAATTAGTACCATGTGATAGCCCATTTATTTAGGCAGTCCTTGCTTTGCATGAGCCTGATATGCATGAATTTCAGTCATCATGACTTAAATAATATCAACAACACAGTTCAAACTTCAGTCATCATGGTATATCCACTCTAATTGCATAAAGTTCCAACTTCACTGCTAGCTCTTTAATCCACAATCACTATGTAAAAGATAGATGTGCATCATGATCAGTAACCAATCATGTCACTTCATTCACAATCTGTTGGTGACTAGACACTGTGCATCTGCTATTAAGTTCACACACAGACAGCAAGTGTGCAGTTGTGTTGCTTCATCTCCCAGAGAACTTGTCAACAAAGATGAAAGTGCAGTAAAGAAATTAAAAGTGATAATGCTGGAAGTGAAATCTGAATCAAATACAAATGGAGTAATAGAAGAAACAGCTGACCATGGGAATGTGGATACCCCACCATCTGAGAGAATCTAGCTATGCAATCAAGGGAACTTAGTGAAGGCAAACTTATCAACATAAATGAAAAAAAAGTGGCTGTGACAGAAAGGATGAATATGCCCCAGAGAAAGTGATGTCCGCAAAACATTTGACATTAAAAGAATTTTCAGAGCTATTTCATCACACTGAAAGCACAAAGGATAAAATGTTGGAAGTTGATCCAAACTTAGAAAACAGTATTAAAGTTCACCAAGGCGTAAAAAAGGTGCTCCTCTCTGCATAATAAGTTATATGACAAGGAGAAGAAGAAGGCAAGCACTGTTTAAACTAATCTTGATAAGTTTTTATAAAAAATAAGACAATTTAATTCTCAATATTTCTAATGTTTTAAATTATAGTTCACTAAAAACATTAGTTTTTACTTTTGTTTCATTCCCTATATATTTTTAACCAACATTTAGAGTTTTTAATGTTTAACAAAAATTTTAAAGATCATGGAACAATCATAATTTTTCCCACTGATTATTAAGATCTCTTTGCACAGTTTCACCCTGCATTATTTTTATAGTCCTGCACTGCCATGCAAAGCAAGGATTGCCTGTATTATTTCAATCTGCATCTCTGGCAATCCTTCAAGTGCTCAGTACATATACATACACCCAAGAGCTTGGACTGACATTCTGCATGCCTAA